TCGACGAGTCGACATCTAGGGAGTCGTCCTTCAAGTGGACAGTTTCTAACATGCTGCTTGACGAGCTTGCTCCAGCTTCACAAGAGTTCACAGGTTTCACCAGAGTGAGACTTGTAAACCGGAACTAGTGAAGCAGCGAAAGTGCAAAATGCCCCCCCCCCGTCGCCGAACTGCGCCGGCCTCGGCTTCGTTTCACACCCCCTCCCCTCCTCAGCCGGCCTCTCCTTCGCATAGATGTGAGTGTTTTTTGCGGTACCGACTTCCTTGAAATAGGTAAGCAGTTAATTCGATGTTTCCGCTCGTTCAGCTGCTTTTGTGGACTGCATTTTTTTGCCTCTATGAAAACAGGTGTAGATTGGGAGGTCCACGTCGCGGCAACAGACAGCACTTCGTAACTAGTTGACTCAACTTCAGTGGGACTTCTGAGTGAATCATACAGGCCCTATTGCTAGTGAAGCGCTCGCGCCCACACCTGCAATGACGTTTTCGCCGCGCCGCCGCAACACGGGTCTCCTAATCGGTGACCTTCTAGTTTCAGTAGAAATGGTCCCTCCATGGACGAATATCTGTTCGGCGCAGTTCGGCTTAGAATGGGCATTTCCCACTTTCGCTAGCTCCTCGTGCTAGTTCCTGTCAATTAACAATTATCATCTTGCAAAAACCTGTGAACTCTTGTGAAAGTGCGAAATGGTGAGTGTACAGCTTCGATCACAGGAATTTACAAAGTTTCACAAAATTTCCGGTACAGAACTCATTGGGTACCATATGGTGCCCCCACTAAGCCGAACTGCGCCCATTTATTCTATGAAACTCACATAGATATGTCCCAGGATATTGACATCGGCATTCAGTCGGTAGTCCTTCTCCGACAAATCCAAACATTCACCGAATTTGAGTACTGCTGCATTGACAACGCATATATCCACGTGACCTGAAATTCTACCATCAGTTGGTCTTACAAAGAAATCACAATAATTTGCTTTGGAAACTTGCCAAGTTGCGGATCCTTATGGATCTCGTTCGCTACGCTTTTGAGCGATTCATGATCCGATACATCGCATCGGAAAAAGTACACCTCTCCACCTTCTCTTGTAATCTCTTCCAGGGTGTTTAGTCCTTCTTTCTGAAAGAAGAAGAGTTCCTCTGCGTCTCTGACCCCAACTGCAGAATTTCACAGCGTACACACTACTACGAGCCACGAGTCTATTTTATACCGCGGCCTTGGCCCATGTAATTAGAAGCGTACTATACATACTTCGTTCACGTCCAGTATGCATACTTTGGCTTTCTCCTGGATCGCGAGGCGCTTTGCCACCTCCTTTCCAATGCCCATCGCTCCACCGGTGATGACCACAACCTGAAAATCGGCTGCGTTACGGTAGGCATTTTCCCCGCAGCTTGAAAACTAACTATAATCTTTAAGGAACAGTTCTGGAAAAAAGGCTGACTTGCCTGGTTTTCGATTTTCTTTCGTCGTTGAAATAGCATACGTGGGAGGTCTTTGAATAGCAGTATGAACATAAAGACGAAAATGAATGTGAATGCCTTCAAAATTCGCTGAGGAAACGATTCTCTACTCATTCTGGTCCTGGAATAAGGAATTATCATCTAGTACACATTTCGCGATAGTTACATAGGATAAATGGGCAGAGACCTACAAACATCGTGCCTCTCTCATTGGAGCGTCCCTCCTTTTTACCGTGAGAGAACAAGGTGCACACCAATGAGGGAGGGCAGATTGATAGAACCAGGGCATGTCCTGCTGTTAGGGAAAAAATTTCGAAACACACCCCTCAATAAATCCCCTCTGGTACGACTTTATCCTCTCCTCCAGCTTCCAAATACGTAAAAATACACCCCCCCCCTTTGCTAGGGATCCCCAACGTATCTGGACGTGTCCTGGTTTTCTCATACATAGTCGTGGCACGTCACTTTATCAAGATGAGCAATTTCGTCCAAATGAAGGAATGAAAGCACGGATCTGAGTATTCAACAGTGTATTTACAGAAAGTCATGACACACCATGGGTGTCACCGGTCCAGGAAGTGTCTAGTATGACCTGAGTCACATCGGTAGTGCTTTTTTCAGACTTCGTGCCTCCTGATCTGAATTGTG